ATCCCGTGGCCCCGTCTGGTTATCCAGATCAGTGTGGACGTGGCCTGGCTGCCCCTGGCTCTCATGAGGATGGGTTAGCTAAAACTATTAGTAACCAGAATTTTAAGAACATACTGAAAACATACCCAGGCTGTTATTCAGTTAAGAACATCTTTATTTTGCTCCTGTGAGTAAGTATCAATAAAGGTAAAGCAAATGTAAAACTGTTGTCTAACAAGTCAATTAAATAAAATACTTGGGAACATTTTTAAATATTAACAATGTGCTTTCTTATTGCAAGAGTATTGTTCAAAGAACAACTAGATTTCGAATTTCTGGTGGAGCTAAGTCTTATTAAAACTTCTAAAAAATTCACAGTTTAAAACGCAGTGCAATTCGTTGAACAGTTCTTATTTACAGCCGTTCCAAAATAACATGTACTAAATCAAAATGTGTTAAAACAAAGCCTGATTTAGTATCTTTACGCTAGTTGACCTTGTATTACTTCCGCATTGATTTGTTTAAATATTATACGCACAACTTGAAAAATACATGCAAAAGAGGAATACGGGATCTTCCCTTCACCTTGCACAGTAATCCAAGAGTTCTTGGATTCTGAATTCTAAATTGTCAGTGGAACTAACTCCAACCTTGAGAGGGATTCTGGATTCCTTGAACTAAATTCGAGATTTCAAATCCCAGGAATCCAGATTCCACAAGCAGATAATTCCCGGATATATTCCGCATTCAGCGAGCAAAAATAAATCAGATTCCGGTAGGGAACATGTTATGAACGCTTCAGTCAGGCACAAAACGCAAAATAAATAAATTAATTAATAATAAATACATGCATAAATCATTATAATAATAATAATGATAATAATAATTATTATTACTATAATCGTTATAACTATAATTAAAATTACCATAATCATAATCGTAATAATAAGAAGAAGAACGTTCAGCCTCAACCCCAAAAAATTAGACGTTCCTATATTAAAAAAGGGTGTAGAGCATTGTCGGTTTTTCTTTTTTAAAAAAGTTATACAATAAAACTTACTGATTAATGTCTTGAATATCAATCTACACACTAATACACTAAACAGCAAGTGTGATAGCCAAAAACATTTTAGCTTCCTGCGTGGAGGAGCCTTCCCTCCCATGCGAACGTTTTTAGGAGAGCTCGTATTTCGTCCCTCCCCTCAAACGCCTGTTCAACCGAGAACAACATTTCTTTCCCATTGTTTTATTCGCGTGGTAAGTTACCAATCAACAGTTTTGAAACAAAGAGATGACAGTCCAAACACGACTCATAAGCTCGTGGTTGTGTAAAACAATGACCCTAGGGATACTTTTTTCCTTCTTTTCTTTCCTGCGCTAAGGTTACACAGTGCACGGAGTATTCTAAACTCTGACTTATCTTACTTTTGCCACCCTGATTTTAACATTTATTAGAGGTCATCAAGCTTTTCCAGTGTTTCATGCAGATTGAGTAATTGTCGGGTTACCCTGCGGTCAAGTTCAATCTTCCAGAATTTGAAGGGTACAATGTGATTGGCTAACCTTGGGAAAGGAATGTTGTTCCCGGTTGTTCCCGGTTGAACGGGTGTTTTTTGGAGAGGGACGAAACACGAGCTCCCCTAAAAACGCCTGCGTAGGAGGCTAGGAAGAGCGGTGTTGCTCGAAGGGTGACCTAGCAGTGTCACCCTTTTTCGATAATAAGGTCACCTTCTAGCTGGGCTAACTTTTCTCCATATAAACACTTTTGCTCCCTCAGCCGGGTCAACACGGTCAGGGTAAGACGATCAGAGCATCCGCGAGCGCTGTTGGCTCGGGCAAAGAGGTCTCATACAAACGCTCGCTAAAGTTGACGTGGCTGGGAGGGTGTCAGTCTTTTTCTATATAGACTCGCCTTCACACCCAAATCTACCAGCTTTTTCCACTTTTCTTAACGCTATGGCATTAGAGTGATAGTGATTAAAAAAAAAAGGAGCAGATTCGGTACAAATATAGTTGAAAACTGGTTGCAATAACTCTCAGCGCGCCAACTTGGTGGATCCAAGTTATATCAAGAAACCAGTAAAAGGTTCACTTTTTTTCGCAAATGTATCCCAGTGTCAAAGAGCAGTCTTCGTCGTTCCATTCTGCGTTATAATGTATCAAATGGTACGTTCCCTTTAGCATTGCTACGCAGTCTTGGTTCCGAAAATTATTCGGCTGGCCTCTTCTCCAGTTTTCAAAACCAGTTAATCCGGTTTCGTCAGTCCATCTCCATTCGTTTTCATTAGAGGAGTCAGAAAGTCCAATCCAGTAACGACCTTCATCACTGAAATATTTTCTTGTGATAAATCGACTTTCCTCCTCCGTTTCAATCTTCAATAACTTACCACCAAAACTTTGGCAGTTCAGTTTGGCATTGTTCCAGTTCTGGGGTGATGTGTGCAGTTTGTAACACGAAGACCCAAAACTTGTCCACTGCGATTCACACAACGCTGAATCAATTAAAGAAAAGCAAAGAAAA